GGTACAGTAGAGCGACATCCACTTACCCGCTTTTTTTTTTAAATTTATTATTATTATTATTATATTGTAACTTAATTTTTCATTGTAATTAGGCCCCTGAATCATTTTAAACTACTTCCCCTTTAATATTAACCGTTTTATAAAATGCTATCACTATTTTCTTATTCAAAAAATATGTTTCTGGCATTAGTATTATTAATATAATATATTTTCCATATTGACATATTTTATTATTATGAACTATTATTATATAATATATTGTATATTTAAATTGTAATATTGTGTGCCCGAAATGTCAAAAAAAAAACCACCAAATTTTAAAATAATATCATTTTTTTGAAATACTATGTAAACATGTAAAATACACTCACTTGATTATCTTAAACTACAGTCTACAATGGTTTTATTTAACTAATGGCCTTTGTTGTTTATGACGAAAAAAAATAGTTTTATTTAATATTTATTATTAACAGTATTATTATATTTATTATTCACCTTCTACAATATTTATATATTTTATTGTAATGTAACAAAACCCCGTTCCTCCAATGGAAAAGTAAGTTATTTAGTAATTTTATTCGGACATACCCCTAAGAGATGGCATGCTATTCGGACATACCCCTCTAAGAGATGGTATGCAATTTGGACATTCCAATTTATATTTATTTTTTTGGCATGCAATTCGGTGCACCGCGCCGTTGCCAATTGCCAAGTACACCTCACTATTATAATAATCACTAATATCACATATTCACATTATCACTACCTTTACACAATTACATGATTATTATATATTTATATCGTTGAAAAATGCACTTAAGTCCCAATATGAGAAAACACTAAATGCTATATGTATTATACTACCTACTGTAAATTGTAATATTTTGATAATATAATGTAATGAAATAGGTAATGTTTAGTTCTTAAAACTAGGAAAATATGGATTAGGTAGTATATTATTTTAGTCTTTAGAGATTATGATTATTAATAAATAGATAATAATAATTTAATTATTTGTATGAAATATAGTATAGGTAGGCATATTTTACCCATAAACTAAACTATTGAATCTGACAATGGTTTTGGCCGAAATTAAATTAACTAGGTAGTTATAATTTTTCATTTACAGTTCCTTTACGATATTACTGATATGTTCTACAAATTATCAGTATATCTGTGCAGGTATTGGGTAATATTATAGGTATTACAAGATTCAGATTCCAGAAAGATGCACAACATCAAATAAGTACGTAAAATATCGACATATCGTATTCTTTAAAATCTGTATCAGGGGCCTAGGGGTTTGGAGTAAATTAATTTAAGTCTTACCTTTTAATAACTTTTTCAAAATTATATTTTTATGAATTTTCAGACATAACTACTAAGTAAATCTTAAATACGAGGCGTGTCCCAAAAGTAAGGTCTCCATAATTATAATAATTGAAATAAGCTTTATTCAAAATATTTTTTACATGGTTATATATACAGTACTTATGAGTTTTTTTTCCACATAATCGCCATTTACTTGGATGCATTTTTCAAGGCGATCTGGAAGTTTTTGTATGCCAGCCTCATAGAAACTCGCCGCCAGCTCCTTATTTAGGTATTGGGTGACTTCTGTCTTCACTTCTTCATCTGTCTCTAACCGTTTCCCTCCCAAATGTTTCTTTAAGTTCAAGAACAAATGGTAGTCGGACGGGGCAAGATCTGGACTCGTAATTTACTATCTATATCATTTGCATATTTTTTTTCATACTAAACGTATAAGTTTAAGAGTATGACATCCTCTTAACACTTGTATCAATTTTAATCTGTCAAATCCTTCTGCAGTTACACTATATATATTACCACTTGCTGGAAAATCTGCAGGCTAGGGCGCCTATGTCAATCTGTAGGTATTGGTCAAATCGCAGTTCCCGCCATCTTTGGTCATTGTCGTACACTCGTACTATATTCAAAGTTCAAACATACTTCACGGCACATTTTGTACCAGTCTGTAACTGTTTCTAGGCATTTTCCTGTTAAGGAGGCTGTTATTGTCAGAAATGCTCAGATAATTGTCTAGGGGAGGGATAGCTCATTTTTATATACTTCAAGGGGGCAAGGAGTATAATGTTTTATAAACATTATATTATGTATCATGGTTTTTCATACATCAATGGGGTTCAAGCCCCATAGCACCCAGTACCCACCCACCATATAAACAATTTAATAATACGTTCCCCACTTATTGAGTTATTTTTAAAGGACTCAGACTCATTCAGTCCATCGCCATTACTGTAAAATTAATAAATCTAGTTGCCAGTAATAGGTATGTGAGTAAATCTATTCCAATGGCCAATGTTTTCGAAAGTTGTGCTGGTAAAAATAAGTTTTTATTGACAATTTAAAATTATGAATTATTTAATAATTATTTAACATTTTGAAAATAGGTGCAGTGTAATTTTTTAATTCGATAAGTTCAAATTTTGATGAAATTTAAACTAAAAATATAAATTTTTCCTCAATCAATTAAGTAGGTATAGTAATAATCTTAATTAAGGATAAACTCCGTTTGCAAATAATAACATTTATGTGCAATAACATTATAAAATATAAAACATAAAATATTTAACATAATATAAGTTACCGCTTACAATAAATTAAAAATAAAAATTTAAATTATAAATTTTGAATTATAATATTTTTATATTTAGACATGATTTGAATTTATCAGTATTATCTTAACTGAAATAATCAATATATTTTGCCTTATTAACTATTACCACCACTCTAATAAAAATGATACATTTTGTGCATTTCTTCTATATTTTACAGTATCAATATTGATTACTGACAATACTGAATAAACCTGAGAGTTCGCAAGTTCGCTATAACCCAAATAAGAGTCTCTTTCGACATGGCATTTAAAGGATAAACATCTTAAAAAGTTTTTTCGAATTGACTCTATACCATGAATTTGAGTACCTAATTAAATTATTGAATCAAATAATTGTAGAAAATTAAAATAATTCATGGCAATTTCTAAGTAAGTTCGATATTTTGTTGTAATTTTAACAGTTATTAGTATAATACTACCTATAACATATTAACATATTATTTTATGTTTATAATATTTTCTATAGGTACCCGATGGAATTTAAAAAATATTTTGACAAAATTAAAGCTATTTATTTCACAGAACGAATTTGGTGGTATAAACTGCTTAAATTTAGTCTAAATATTTTGAAAATGTCATTGGCTAAAAAAAATTATAATTTAAATGAGGGTGACATTTTTATTCAAGTTTTTACGATAACCTAATACTCTTTGAATTACATTAAAATACGTGTAATCGTTATTTTACTCGTGAATAAATCTCCGAAATTCAAACTTCAGACGCTCATAAAAAAATATATTTGTGTAATAATTGCAATGAACTTAAATTTTTAGTATTCTTGAATGAAAGCTTGTATCTATCACATATTCAAACCTTGGTGTGATTCGTATGAATTCTATTCAAAATTGTATGAGTTTTTAACTACAAAACCTATACCCAACCCAATTTAATAATTTATTAATCATTATCATTTATCATAGTACATGAAAATTGAAAATTAATAAAATTACAAACTGTAGTTGTACCTACATTGCATGTGCCAACAAGTTACAACTTACTGGCTACTGCCTAATGCCTATTGAATATTGATGGCTATATGGAAGTCGGTAGTTGCCTATTATTAGCATGCTCGAATTGGGGGGATGCAGGGGGACGGAGTTCCCCTTCTAATTTTTATTTTTTTAGCGTACCCCTTCTTATATTTTTAATTTCCAAGGGGGGATGGTACGTCCCCCATTTAATTTATTATTAAAACACTTGTAAATCTATAGTGGAACCTTTTGGTGGTCGTCCCCCGACCCCTCGTTTCCAGTCCATTATATCTTAGTCCATGATTTGAACAAAATAATATAATATTAATATGTAATAAATTATAAATTGTAAATTGTAAATTTCATTTATGATAAAAATCAAAAGATATAAGATCTTTATAGTAAATAGTAATAATTATAGCATTATAGATATGTTTATGAGTCGAGGTTGGTTTTTATCGGTTATTGTTTATATGACACTCTATAAATTAATAATAATAATTGTTTGATTGGTGTTGTTAATATTACTTGGGGGGTGTGGGTTAGGTTGATTTAAATCTTTGAGTGGAACGCTATTTTTTTATAAGTCCTTTAGCACCCCTTCTTTTATATTTCCAATTCGAGCCCTGAATTTATTGCCTAAATTTGTACACCACGGTCTACCGTCTGTAGTCTGTACTCGGAGACTGCCTCTGCAGTGCCTCCAGCAGGCTCCTACTACCTTATCACCGTGCACGACACATTTTTGTAGAATCGATAAACATGCGGCGGGCAACCAAGCCAAGATTACGATGACGACGATTCTACGGTAATTTCGTTACGGTCGCAGCGCACGCACTGCAGTTCCCGGTTCGCTCGTCGAGGGACGTTGACTGGCTGGTAGGCGGGCGGTGGCCGGGGGACAGTGTACCGACGATCGTAGCGTTCGTCCGCGCACGATAATATTATTTCGTATTTTCCTCGACCTCGCGCGTTCGCCGCCACCGCTGCAGTCGATCGCCCCGCGCCGCAAGCATCGTAGTGTGCTGCTCCAGTTGCCTTGTTGCCGATTGTAAAAGTTCGGACAGTCACGTTTTTTTTTTTTAAATAACAAATTTTCCAAACAATTTGGATTTCGTTTTTATGGTCCTTTGTACGTCGTTTTCGCCGCCGGACGCGTGTAAATGTGAGGGGGGAAAGAGTAAATAAATCAAAAAATAGTAAGCGTTCCGTTTTTTTCTGGCGGGTCGTATCCGATTGATTACTCGGTCATTCGTTTTTTATTTTATTTTGTTTTTCCGTCCGTGATTCACGGTAAATAACACACGCGCCCGTCCACGAAGCCGGCGATCGAATAGTATCACTGTTGTCGTTGACCGCCGTCGACGACGATGAACAAGTGGTGGCTGACCACCGGCACAGCCGTGTTGCTGCTGCTCGTCACTTGCGCAGCTGACGCAAAAAAAAAGTGGAAAGCAGACGAAGATTTTGAATTCGAAGAGGTACGTATCTTTCTTATTATTTGTTATTTCACGTTATAGTTTTATCAACGACAAAGTTCATACATACACCTTTCCACAGGTACCGTCGTTCGTATAGCGCTACTGAAGGTTTTCGTAGACCTGACCGCGAGGTATACCGAATACCGATATTACCTACTATTTATAGTATTTATCATTGGGATACACCGTGGTACATATTATTATTTATAGGCATGCTTTTTGGTGTACATCAAAGTACCAATCGTGCATTGCATAATGTACCTACCTCCTATAAGATAATATTGTATGTTTTTATGACGCGTAGTTTTAAGGATTTTCGGCGAACCCGGGCCCATTGTGCACGTGTAGACTGTACGGCGACTACACCGAGTAGGAGGTATAATATAATATAATATAATAGTGTTATATTGCACGCGGCAGATCACACGGTGGTCGAGCGGCGGCGGGTCCAGGTGTTGTCCCGTGTGAGCTGCATCTCTTCTCTTTGTTAGGCGGTGCGCTATTATCATTGTAATACGCCTATACCCGCGCGCGCTTGGCTGTGTGTATATTACATTTATTATATATATAAATATATAATGTATTATAATACTGTTGAATATTATAATGCAGTACAGACACATCCGTATTTATAACTATAATCCCCGGTCACTATTTAGAAAGCCACACCGCCCGGCGGGGATTAAGTAAGGACGTGTTTGGTATTGGATTTTTTTATTCTTAGAAAAAAACAACAAAGTGTCCTCAATGTCTGTGCCAGGTACTGAGGACGACATACCGTGCTACTATGCGTCTATGTTCGACCTTGGCCCGAATACGAAATCCTTTTTAACCATTGCCCTTTATTTTTTTTTATCGATACGTCGATAAATCTATAATCTATAATACAGTAATACACAATTATTTTACCCTCCGTGTACATACAAGATACAGTAGGTACCTACTGTCGATAATAAGGCTTTTTCTGTTGACCCAACTTGTGTCTTTTGACTGATTAACATTGTTATGTACAATGGATGTTAAAAACTGTATTTGTAAGCTCAAACCTTTATTTTTTTACATGAAAAAAGTGGCCGCCTTCTAATTATTAGGTACACTATTTATGAGAAAATATATGTTTTAAAATATACGTATAGGTTATACACTCACTAAACTTACTATATAATATATGTATTAATAAAAACCGGTTTCGTTGTATTTTGCTGTAAGTCGTAAACTGTTTACGTTATTATATGAGTTAACATGACGTGATTTACTAATTAGAAAATAGCAAATAAATTTATCACGTATATCTAATTATATGCTAAATTCAATAGCAGTTATACCTCGAGTTCGGAGTTATACACTTATATATTATGGTATATTATACTATTTGTTTACTCAAATACATCGTTTAAAAACAAATTGTGCGGGTGTTGTGTAGGTACTGATTGATATGTAATATCGTAAAATTCGTAATAATATCGTTTTCAATAGTGGGATGGATTTAAAAAAAAAAATTAATATATTTATCTCCTATTTAATCGAGATTTAACCGACATTCAACGATTCAACACACCCATATCCTCCTAACGGAATTATCACGAATTTTTAACGACAGTGTGGGTACAAATCATCGTAAATAGGCAGTGTTATTTATTTTGTGAATTTTTTTAACAACATAACGGTAATTTATTCAAAAACCAATGTCATCAGCAATTATAGGTTTATTTTTTAATGTACATTTTGTAAGACATAATTTATTATAATCATTCTAACAGTGCCCAGTGGTATTATAATATAGTGTTATAATGTAGTCTTATACTTCTTATAGTATCATAATATTATGTACATTTAAACTAAGTTAAATAAAAGTTATTAGTAGGTATTTAGATATAATTTAGATACTCTTCATAGTTCATACTATCATACGTACTCCAATAATTTGTAATTATTACCAGACAGTTGTATACTTCTATTATCTAGCTATTTCTATAATATTTTAATTCTTATTACGATATAAACGGCCAAAAAGGAACATTCAGCATAATTTAACAATCGTGTATCAACGATTTCGGTGTTCGAACAATTATGTTTATGACTGATCTCAGAATTTTAATAACCACACAACACATTACCAAAATGTCAAAAATATTAATAATTTTGAAAAAGTGTTACATTTAGTTTAACCTTGAATCGGGGTGAAAAACACGGCTTAGTGTATGCGTGTACATAAGCTATCCGTACCGAAGTATAATTATTATATAGTGGGAGTGAGAAAGAGTGAAGACACTAGGGACTGGTTTTTCGTTAGTAACAGGTTTTCTAGAGACCTCACACACAAGCACTGTATGTGCGTCGATATGCACTGTGTGGTGATTGTGTGTGTCAGTGTGCACGCATAGAACGGAACAGGTCATCGCCGCCCCGGGCCATGCTTTATTAGTTCAAATAAAGCTATAAAAGGACGACAAAGACACCGGTCGAAGTCCTTTTGGCAGCCATAGTAGGTCCTCCGTGCCAACGCATAATATCTGTGGCATACCCTTTTTTTGTCATTATGGTTTAATGTATTGGGTGAAAGACAGATAGAGACAGAAAAGGGTTGATATTATTCATTAACACATACAGGAAAAAAAACATTATCTCAATGTAAATATTCACAGGTAAACCCATGTGATGAATTATTTATGCCGAACGTTTATCTTTAAATTATTCTTTAACTCGCTCCAACAATCTAATGTAAATTCAGTGTTTGTGACATTTTTCTCTGCATTTTTGTACTTTCATAATATTGATTATTAAAATGAATATAGGTACTAGCTCGTTTGAAATGTGAATTCGTTGATTAAAAGTGAAGGGTAAATAAGTATCGAAAAAATTTCTCAAGCATTATGAGTCAATAGGTAAAAATTAACAGAGATAAGTATAGCCTGATAGCTGTAAATATAGGACTCAATTACGTATTAAAATAAATAAAATATTTCAAAGAGGATCATAATAATTAAAATAAATTAAATAAATAATTTCGACGTACATTCGTACATAATCCAGAAGATACTGCTGCTATTTTTTAGTCAATAAATTACGAGTTTTGAACTCGTACATTCTAACATATTATTCTTTACCCTATCTGACTAGCTTGTCCGGGATTTACCATGTTCCATTATAAACTGTTATAAAAAAAAAAAACGTTGAATTAGGTAGGTATAATAATTTTCCATCAGAGTGTTCATGATTAAATGGGCGTGAAAAACATGTACTAGGTGTAGGTAGGTACTTAAAATTCGAGACAAAATGTTTGTAACACCCCTTAAAGTAAAGTTCAACTATTATTTTTTACAAAATAATCTTATTGCCTTTTATTTTAACTTACAAATGTATTGATTTCATATTTATCCCTGCAGATAAAAGTATAATATTATTTTGTTATAAATCTAGTTAAAAACCAAAAAGTTTTACTTAAGAATCTCGTATAACCATTATTTAATAATATACTTTGGCCATTTTAAGAATTATTTCCTTGTTATTTCTTAAACCAAACCTATATGTTTGTATTTATAAAAGGTAGGTAGTGTTGACGTGTTGTACACTAGTACCTACCGCATATTCCGTTAAAATTATTGAAAATCTAATCAAAGATTTTTGAAAATATTCAAATCCCATTCTATGCTTTTTCTCAAAATAATATTTTATTCTTAGTGGTGTACCTACCTATTTGTATTTATTTAAATTGAAAAGAAAAATAGCATGTACTTTTTTGTTAGCGTTTAATTTATTTGTATTTTATATAATTTTGTAGTATCTGTTTGGCACACTTATTTATTATTTATATTGAAATAATAGTTCCAATTTAAATAAGTTTCTCTTTTTAGTTTTTCATATTTGTTTTAAATTGTAAGTGAGTTACCAATATTTTTAAATTATCTGTTAGGTATAATAATTAGGCCGCAAGTTACGTACCTACCTAGGTAAATAATACTATAATATTATAATTTGTATTATTTACAACAGTAATTTTGGTGAAACTATACTATATTTTTATACTTAGGAGTTAAGTATAGGTATTATTATTTTCATTGTAATATAGTGTCATTTATATATTTAGGTAGGTACTATTTACCTATATAAAAACAAATTATAATTATTACACCAATCAAAATGTTGAAATTGTGTAATTTTTTGGATAATAATACGATTTGACTATTTTGGAAAGTTCTGTAAATACCAGTCTTGTTACCACCCCACCTATCCACTCTTAGCATACTACATGTAAGGGTTTTTCCTTCTTTATATATTATATATACAATATACATAACACATTACCTATACATCCTAGAATTTATGCTATGCAAGTGTCACATTACATTGTTGCAGTATTACACCAGAAATAGGAACAGTGATATGTATACATATTAATATATTATTATACCTCTTTTAAATTTACCTATTTTATCGGCATAATACAAACCGTTATAGTATCAAAAGCTCATTTGTTATATTTAGTAGCTGTTACTGTTTATTATAAAACTGTTAGGAATGTCACTTGTCAGAACTATTAAAGGTTTTTTTTTATTCTAAAGTTCAATGATCATTCATTTGGAAAAATGTTCTGCCACGAACCATGTTTCCCCGAATAATCGATCACTGTATAATATAGACAAGTGGGCATTTATTAACTTCGGTTTTTTGTTGGCGTTAAAATCTAAGGGGGTCGAAAAATCGTATAAAAAAATAATGGTAGGTAGCAGAAACAATGGTCATTATTGTCCTAATTCAAGAGAAAACAGTTAGGTTTATCGGCACGGAGACGGAAAGGAAATTGGCTGAACCGGAGATTTGTCAGCGTCAACTGAAATGAAATGATATAAGCCTTCAAGCTATTGCCTTGTTATTATTGTCCTACAATTCAGAAAGTGGAATGTTCTGACTGAGCGTAAATAAAAGTATCTTTTAATGCTTTTCGTGGAAACTTTGAGACACCCTCGTGTCGTTTTACTCCAAATAATCTTGGTACTTTT